GTGTGAAGATCCATATTGCTTTTTATGGAGATTGTGTGAAATTTAACGAATTCAAATCTTAATACGTTTCAAAATCTGTACGTATTTAGTGGTATTAATATTTAATAATTGATTATTTTTGCTCAACAGCCAGATAATCCACTCTGTTTGAGGGGAATTAAAAGCTTTGTTTGTGAATTTTCGTTAAACAAAAGGAACTCAAAGCTTAATACGTAAATTAAATGTATGAGACAAAAAATCATTTAAATTAGTGAAGGTTTCAGCAAACAGTCGTCCACAAAAAGAAAATTTAACAATGTCTGAACAAACTCCAAACTATGAAGAGCTTGGGCAGCCTTTAAAAAATTACCCTTAGAATTTAGACTCAGTGATCTGCAGAATATTGTTAGAGTCTATCATCTCCCTCTATTTTCATGTTGGAAACTGCAACCATGTAAACAGGATGACGATATAATCAATTAAGTTAAATTTGAAGAGTATTTTGCCAAGTTCAAAGAACAAGGAGAACAAGACTTAAATCCAACACACTCCACTGATTACGTAAAACCAACCCCTAATGGCGATCCTGAAAAACCAGAAGCACCTCAAGGACCAATGATACCCAGCCAGATTATATGAACGCCTTTACGCAACTGCAAAATTTAACCAAATACAGATTGCAGGATTTAAGGGATATAGTGAGTCAGAACAGACTTCCATATCATGTTGGAAACTGTAATGAACCGTATCGGTTGAATACAGATACAATGAATTGAAGAAATGGTTGAATGAATGGATTATTAACTATTCCAATGAGAACAACAGTGAAGAAGATGATAGTGATTACGTATATCAATCTGATGAGGACGATGATGAGTCTGCTGTTGGATTGGTAACAGAAGAACCAACTAACCAATGACAGACTATTCAGAAATGTTAATTGAGATTGTGAACTCCATGTTAAGCACTTCACAATTCTTTGATTATTATAGATACAAAGAAGTATTGTCCTTGAAGAAAGTGAATGGATGGAAAGATGGCCACTGTTATTGATTTATATTGGGAAATGCAGAATTCTTCTCTCCAAACTTTACCAAAGAGGAAAGATCCATTCACACAGCTGTTGAACATTGCTTCAATTAATTCCACTGTTAGGTTAATTTTGAACAAAGTCAAAACTGAGAGATATAAGCTCGATGATGTTTCCGCAATGACCAAGTCTCGCCTTTACAGGAACAGCAACGTCATCTACATGTGGATGTATATTGGTATTCTCAACAATTCCATAGAAAATGTTATGTTGGTCAGGCAAAAGATTTGAACGAACGTACCAACGAGCATATCCAGGAAGCCTTTGCTCAACCATCCGGTTGCAGAAAGTTGAATTGGGCCATTAGAAAATCTTCCCCTCGTGATTGGCTTATTATTGTCTTGGAAAATGTTGAGAACGCTACCATGATGAACGAAAGAGAAAAGTTTTATATCCGCCATCACAATACAAAGGCCGAGGGTTTTAATCTTAAATAACCTTATCCGGGTCCTTTCTATGAGAACATTTGGAATTTCTGAAAATTAAAGGGTGTTGTAGGTTTTGTGATGTAATGGTAAAACATTGAATTTTTGGAACGATGTAATTTTCATTGTTGGAGTTAGCCACAACTCCTTAACAATGCTCAATAGTCTGGTGTAAATATATTTCTGTGATCAAATGCTAATGCCCATCCAATGTTCTTCAGGGTCAATAGATCATTTCAAACCAACTAATCAAGTGTTCGTTAGATTGAAAAGATTTACTTCATTTCCCCAATACAAGCATTCTCTTTGCCCTCAATTTTGATAGCAGCATTCGTGGTTTTGATGACCTTTGATAATTTTTGCAACAACTGATTACCTTCGAGATGTTACTACCTTGATCTTGTTGCTGATTAAGAGTGGGTGGCGTCGAATTAATCGTCATGGCCTCTCGTTTTCTCTTATTATTATTCACAGCATTGTTAGAAGGACTAAGCAAAGTGGGTGAATCTGGTGACGACGCTGCCAATAATGAATTTGGAATATTGGAAAGTATGTTTCGACTTCTCTCACTGAGCGCTTTCTTTTTCTCCTGTTCTTGTCGAATCAAGTTACCCAATGCAGGTGATCGTGGAATGTTACAACTGTTTGTCTTTTCATTAAATGTTTTATCGCGAAGAGTGTCAATCAAATCTTCAATTTTTGTGGAATCGGTCAAATATAACATGTCCTTAAACGCACAAGTTTTGTTTTCAACCATTTCTGATATCAATTTTTCCAAAGTGGACAGAGAATATAAAAGTGCTGTAATGTGTGAATATCTTTCACATAACAAGTAAATTTTTGTTGCATCTCCACACTTTTTCGTGTTAATCAATTCATCAAACTGAACTTGAGCTTGTCGTAAATAATCCACACACACTCGTAATTGTTTTAACATTTCTTCCACTTTGGCAATTTGAATTTCTCCAACATCCTTATATCCTGTCACATAGGTCAAGAATAAAATTCCCATGCAGAAAATGTCCTTTTCGATGGCTGATTTTCGTGTATGTGGTTCCAATGGAAGTGGCTTGTAAATGAATGGTCCACGTGGGAGGCTGATCATTCGTTGCTCCGTCTTGATGTCTGGCTCGTAGATGGTGTTTGTTGTCATGGTGCTGGAAGTGAGTAGTGATGGTTGTATGTTTGTAATTTCATCGTTTTGGACACAATCGATGCCACTGTCCTTACTCGAAGAAGTCAATTTTTCATTATTACAGCTATGAGAGTTTGTGAATGCACGAAAGGCAAGTCCTGCAGTAGAGGTACTACTGCTAAAGCTTCTATTTCTTTGATGAGCCATGTTCAATGCAGAAGATGAAGAGCTTGCACTAATACTACTGTTACTTCTCACGCGCTGAAGTAGTCCATGATTTTGTTTGGGAGAGATGGGCTCTACTGAGAGCACACGAAATCGAATGTTAAATTTGAAGAGCATATGAGAAAGTGACACATTCACTGTTCGATGACAATAATTGAGCAGCGAGAACATGGGTAAAATAATTTCATGTGTTAATTTTTCCATTCGTTTCAATAAGGTATAAAATGGTTTGTCTTGTTTCAATGCCGCATAGTAATCTAATTGTTCTTTTTGAAGGCCTTTTCTTGCTGTTTTATCAAATAGTGCAATTTTGCAAAGTCTACATTTTGAATGTCAAAATTCCATTCATTCACACGTGTAAGTATAAATATAATGGCAAATGAACAATTCATTACAATTTGTAAATAAAAAAAACCAAATTTGGATCAACACAAACTCACCCCAAGATATCCTTCGCCACAGTGAAATGATCACCTGAAAAGGATCTACAGGTACAATTCTTGAAAACCTCCACTTGTAGATTTTCAGATGAACGAATCGATTTCTCAATACCTCCAAAAGTTGCCATAATATTCGCAACGGCAGCCTTATGATTGGTCATCTTGACATATTCTTCACAAAATGTTTTCAAATTGACTTCTGAACAATTAAAGACTTGATGTTGGAAGAGTAATTGGGAAGAATCTAATGATTGTTGTTGTTGTAGATTACTATTCGTACGGATGGATGGTTCCGTTTCTTCCTCAAAAGCTACAAAGGAAGAAGAAGAAGGCTTTTGATGAGAAGATACCCTAAGGGAAGATTCTGTTGGTAATTGAGGTTTGGAATGAATACTACTTCCTTTCCAAGTAATTCGTACCATCACGTACATGAAATCATTCCATGAAGAACAAGTAGTAGTAGACCCACTATTCATTAGCATGGAATCGGTAAGGTAAACTTGAGCCTCAGAAGCAAGCCTTTTCGTGTCCAATTCGAAAAACAAGCAAATAACTTGAGAACCATCATCATACATCATGGAGAAACCCTTAGGACACGATGGTAAGCCATTACTTGTATTGGTGTTGTTGTTGCTGTTTGGATTGAGGTTTGTTGGACTTGAACCCGATGAAGAGGCTGATGACGATGAAATATTTACATTTCCAACCAATGATGATGATGAGAAATTAGTATTAGAAGCCTGTGGTGGTGGTTGCTGTTGAGAGGAAGGTTGAGAATAATAGAGAGTCTCCCGAAACAAGCAATACACATGCCGAAAGAGAAGACTCGTATCTGATCGATAATGTAAAGAAGAAGAGCCATCCTCACCATGATGATGGTTGAGATAATTCTTGACAAAATCCTTGACGTTATGTATAGGAATGACTTGTGTAAGACGAGGAGGAAGAGAAGAAGAAGAAGGGGTTGAGGTCATTGTCTTTATCGATGATGGTGTGGTCGATGATGATGTGCATGGAGAAGAGGATGAATGACCATTCTTATTCATACTCATGTGCGTGAAATTCAAATATTTGTTTTTTTTTAAAGTTTCATTGGGTTTTGGCGGGTTTCGGAACTCGCTCATGATCTTGACAATTTGGGAGAACCACAGAAAGTGCAATTATTATCCTTAAACGTGATCTTACAAGTATCGTAAGCTGGGCAAAACTCTGCTTGAAAAGATTGGTATTAGTTGAATATAATGAGAGACTTAAGGTGACAGAAGGTTTTGATAATTTATTAGCAAAAAAAATGAATCATCAAAACGTAACGATTATTCTTCATGATTTAATTCGAATTTCAGGAAACAACTACCAAGATGATCAATTACAGGGTATTCCGAATATTCTTTCTAAATTTTATAACAAGATGCGCAATTTTAAAAAGAAAGTTCCGTTCTCCTTAAATTTTGAATTTGTTGCTTCTATCAAAGCCAAGGATGTAGTTGATGTGAGGATTTCTCATTCCTGTAATTGTATTTTAGGACTATGTAATAATGAGCAGGACGATGACTTTTTCATCTTTGATTTGAATACTCATGAACTTGTGCGAAAGTTTTCAACAATAGGACGTCCTTCTTATTTTGATATTGAAGAAAATTATGATGGAAATGGTCACGATGCTGTGGTATATGGTGGCAGCAATGGCGTTGTAAAGCATGATTTAAACAAGTTGTTAGATGGTCATGACGTTCATGATTATATTTGGCAAGTACCAGAGATTAAAAATTCTCGTGGAATTGTGAGTACCAAGCATGAGACGACAAACACCATCTATGTGAGCTATGAAGATACTTGTAATTGCATTGCTGCTCTCAATTCAAGAACTGGTGAAATACTGTTCAAGATGGGAAAAGATTTTAGTAACAATTTTCAGTTGGAATTAGCATCTGGTTTGGAGATGAGTAATACTAATGATGTGTTATTTGTTTCTGATTGTAATATGAAAAGGATTCACAAACTTAGCCGTTCACATTGCCACTCTGATTTGCAAACAAACACCCATACTGAAACACACTCATGGAGATCAGAGTGCATCTTTGAAGATGCCGGAATTAAATATCCTGATGGATTGGTATTTGATAGTGTGTCACGACATGTTTTGGTATGTGACAGCGTGAAGGGTGGCATTATTGTTTATCAAGAAAATGGCAAGTTTGTCAAGTTTGTTAGATCCAGCGAAGAGGACTCGCATGAGCTCAATGGACCAACAGGGTTATGTTTGGATGAACAAACAGGTTTTCTGTATGTGGCTGACGAATCAAATCACATTCAAATATTCCAATGAGAAGTTGAATATTGAAAAATGTTAATTGTGTGTTTGTCACGATTTGAAAATTGAAACACTCACAAGATGGAGCAGATTTTCAAACGTTTAGAGTTGTATTTCAATTTTACAATAGTTGCGGCCTTAACCCACCGCTCTTTTTCCTAATTTCTTGAATACTTGAAGGTCATTAGAATAGTGTTCGCGAATACAATAAATATCGTTTTTGAGTGTTCAAAATGAACAAAACTGTTATGAGATTACAAATAATTAATACACAATTAAAAATTAAAGAGGGTTGCAACGACTGTCTTTGCTCGAAAAATCGAAAGAGCACAAAATGACAACATTTCCTAGAACTCAAAAATTAAGCCACCCTCGACGTTCAGTGTTGTCAAAACTATTGAAGAGACAATATTGCAGCAACAAGAGAACTCTGAGAAGATTTAAATTGAAACAAATGTCTGAAGCGGAGGTTGTTGTCAAGGACTGGAAAAGAGATACAGAGGTTGAGAAAATCGTGAAGAGATTTCAAAAGTCCACCCAACTTCAAAGCAATACCAGTGCACAAGGGAAAACGTTATATATCGTAAAATTGTTGATGACGGATACGAGTACTTGTATGTCGGCGCCACTAGAAATGTGGATAAAAGAAAGGATTTTTTCGAAAAAGTGAAGCCTCTTTGTAGATCATGCTCTCTCTATTGTTTCAAAAGGGCCAAAATTGTTACGTTCTACCGTGTAAACAAATATTATCTCGATTTCGAGGAGGCTGAGAATCAGTTAATTTGTGCCGCTTGGGAAGAACAGCCAACTCGAATTTTAAACAAAAATCTAAATAAAAA